CTCTGAAAGACTCTTGCAGGGACTTCCAAAATCTTTCAAAATGAGATAAATTCGACGCCATTGAATATGCCGTTGTCTTCTGAAAGAGAGCTGATCTTTGTTCTTCACTTACCCTGTTGCAGGGCTTCGATGTGTACATTCCTGAGACCAGTGTTGAGGAAGTCTTGGATGTGATGGCGTCCGCGTGCACTGACCTAGCAAAGTTGCCTGAGCTCCGTGATGTCATTCTCGCCGTGAGCGGCGCGTGCAGGAGGCACAAAGCCTCGCAGTTCCTGACGTCTCAACTCCGCATGAGCGGGCAGATTTCCATCCACGCAGGCAGCCAGCCTGTCCAGGCCGAGGCTCAGAACTTCTACCTTCATGTTGGAGATCACAAGGTGAGGATGACGGAGGTGAAGACAGAGCTGGAGAAGGCAGGAAATTTGCAATGTTCCTGTTCATGTGTTCTTTTTGAGGCTCTGTGGTGGACAGGCCGCCCACACAACCACACATATCATATATTCTTGCAGTAGGGCAGGGCCCAACTCTGAAAGACTCTGGCTGGATCTGAATTGTTTGTCTTGCAGGGACTTCCAAAATCTTTTAACATGAGATACAGTCGACGCCATTGAATATGCCGTTGTCTTCTGAAAGAGAACTGATCTTTGTTCTTCACTTACCCTGTTGCAGGGCTTCGATGTGTACATTCCTGAGACCAGTGTTGAGGAAGTCTTGGATGTGATGGCATCAGCGTGCACTGACCTAGCAGAGTTGCCTGAGCTCCGCGATGTCATTCTCGCCGTGAGCCGTGCTTGCAGGAAGCACAAAGCCTCACGTTTCCTGATGTCTCAACTCCGCATGAGCGGGCAGATTTCCATCCACGCAGGCAGCCAGCCTGTCCAGGCCAAGGCTCAGAATTTCTACCTCCATGTTGGAGATCACAAGGTGAGGATGACGGAGGTGAAGACAGAGCTGGAGAAGGCAGGAGATTTGCAATGTTCTTGTTAATGTGTTCTTTTTGAGGCTCTGTGGTGGACAGGCTGCCCACATAACCACACATATCACATATTCTTGCAGTAGGGCAGGGCCCAACTCTGAAAGACTCTCGCTGGATCTAAGTTGTTTGTCTTGCAGGGACTTCCAAAATCTTTCAACATGAGATAAATTCGACGCCATTGAATATGCCGTTGTCTTCTGAAAGAGAGCTGATCTTTGTTCTTCACTTACCCTGTTGCAGGGCTTCGATGTGTACATTCCTGAGACCAGTGTTGAGGAAGTCTTGGATGTGATGGCGTCTGCGTGCACTGACCTAGCAGAGTTGCCTGAGCTCCGTCATGTCATTCTCGCCGTGAGCGGCGCGTGCAGGAGGCACAAAGCCTCGCAGTTCCTGATGTCTCAACTCCGCATGAGCGGGCAGATTTCCATCCACGCAGGCAGCCAGCCTGTCCAGGCCGAGGCTCAGAATTTCTACTTTCATGTTGGAGATCACAAGGTGAGGATGACGGAGGTGAAGACAGAGCTGGAGAAGGCAGGGAGCTTTGCAATGTTCTTGTTAATGTGTTCTTTTTGAGGCTCTGTGGTGGACAGGCTGCCCACATAACCACACATATCACATATCATATATATATATTCTTGCAGTAGGGCAGGGCCCAACTTTGAAAGACTCTGGCTGGATCTGAATTGTTTCTCTTGCAGGGACTTCCAAAATCTTTCACCATGAGATAAATTCGACGCCATTGAATATGCCGTTGTCTTCTGAAAGAGAGCTGATCTTTGTTCTTCACTTACCCTGTTGCAGGGCTTCGATGTGTACATTCCTGAGACCAGTGTTGAGGAAGTCTGGGAGGTGATGGCGTCAGCGTGCACTGACCTAGCAGAGTTGCCTGAGCTCCGCGATGTCATTCTCGCCGTGAGCGGCGCGTGCAGGAGGCACAAAGCCTCGCAGTTCCTGATGTCTCAACTCCGCATGAGCGGGCAAATTTCCATCCACGCAGGCAGCCAGCCTGTCCAGGCCAAGGCTCAGAATTTCTACCTCCATGTTGGAGATCACAAGGTGAGGATGACGGAGGTGAAGACAGAGCTGGA